TGAAAGTGTCCAAGTAAAACCAAGGAGTGTCCCAGTTGTAGGGGACGGAACTGTCCCATCCCAGGGTCCTCCAAAGAGGCAGGAGGAAAAAAACGGGACATGGAGTTTCCCGGCAGAGTCCAAAGTCTTGTCAATCAAAGTCCTGCGGATGCAGTTACAAGCCAAGAAAACCCTCAGCATGGTGGCAAATGTCCGGGACGCCCCTTCCACCTTTGAGGGGCTCTTTGAACATAACCGCCCGCTTCACTCTGTCCATCTTGGACTTTTCGAAGCCCGTGGACGTGCATCAAAACAAACTTCCCAGGGGGGGGAGGGCAGGCCTGGGCGAGGTACTGCGACACGGGGGGGAATCTCGGTGCGGAGTACCAGTGTCTTTCCTTCGATGGTGAGCTCTGAGGCTCCAGAGTCCGAACTTCTGCCGCATCTCTGACAGTCTCTCCTCCCAGGACTTCAGGGCCACAGATACTTCACTTGATCTTAGCCAAAAGGCCGAGAAGCGAGACCAGGAACCTTCTCCAGCGCCCACCCAACTCAGGCAGAGCACCCCCACGACCAATTAGGGCCAAATCCAGGAATGGGGATAAGGCCGGAGCCAGTATTATTTCGAGTTAGGGAGACCTATATTTCATTGACGTGCATTCTGGTTGCACGGGTTCCGTGGATGGGGGGAGGGGTTTCCAGTCAAATTAAGATTCGGGCAGGGGCGTGACTTATCTAATTGACATATCATTTGCGTATTCATCGGGACGTTCTTTTTTTTTTTAAAGCCCGCGGTGCGAGCAACAAAAACATATTTACCCTCCCAACAAAAATAAAGTGGACAGTGAAGTCACCACACTACAGAAAAATAAATAAGGCGCGAGGAGGGTGCGGTGGTCTTCCTGCAAAGTCCTTGAAATTCCTCAGACAGGAACAAGGATGACTCAGGCGCACCTTCTGAAGGGCCATCAAAACCTCTAATCCTCAGGAACCTCTCAGACTAGGTCTGATGAGTACTAGGTGAACGCTTCCAGAGCCCAACGGGCAGCGGACCCGGACCCTCAAGAACCTACCAAACTAGGTCTGATGAGTACTAGGTGAGCGCTTCCAGAGCCCAAAGAGCAGCAGACCCAGACCCTCAGGAACCTACCAAACTGGGTCTGATGAGTACTGGGTGAGCGCTTCCAGAGCCCAACGGGCAGCAGACCCAGACCCTCAGGAACCTACCAGACTAGGTCTGATGAGTACTAGGTGAGCGCTTCCAGAGCCCAACGGGCAGCGGACCCAGACCCTCAGGAACCTACCAAACTGGGTCTGATGAGTACTGGGTGAGCGCTTCCAGAGCCCAACGGGCAGCAGACCCAGACCCTCAGGAACCTACCAAACTGGGTCTGATGAGTACTGAGTGAGCGTTTCCAGAGTCCAACGGGCAGCAGACCCGGACCCTACCAAACTGGGTCTGATGAGTACTGGGTGAGCGTTTCCAGAGTCCAACGGGCAGCAGACCCAAACCCTCAGGAACCTACCAAACTGGGTCTGATGAGTACTAGGTGAGCGCTTTCAGAGCCCAAAGAACCTCAGAAAACTACAAAAATAGGTCCCATGAGTGATGGGTGGAGCCTCTCAGAGCTCCTATCAACTCAGATACAGTACTCCCTACCCAGGACCCCCTACACCCAGGAATGGGGATTAGGCCGGAGCCAGTATTATTTTTTAAAGTCTGGACGTCATGATTGACACCGGATTACGTCGGAGGAAGCTTGGGGGGAAGAGACCCTTGTCCCTATCGGCACGGGGACAAGGTGCTTTTCCCAGTGGCGACCCTCGAAAAGCACCCTCCCAGTGCCGAGGGCATGTGGCCTGGTATGCTTTCACACGAGAAGTCCCATCTCCCTACAGACAGGAAGTGATGTCACCTATAAACAGGAAGTTCCGGGTGAGAGGTAATTTGGGAGGAAGTAGAGAGGAGGCATTGCTGGAACTGGCAGCAGAGGAGGTAATGAGATATTATTATATATTTACACCCATTAACCCCTCCCCCCCCGTCATGTCCGTCCTTCATAGTCACTGTGACCTCTTTTATCTCCGGCAGATTCTTCTACACACATATATAGCTCCTCCTACATCCCGACCTCCATGTCACCTCCTGATCTCCTCCTCCTATTATTGTACAACCAACACAATCCGGATCATTCTCTGATACCAATGTTATCCGTCTACAGGGAGACCTTCATAGAGGACTGCACCAATGATGGAGGAGGACCGGAGTCACATGACCGAGAGGATACTAAACCTCACCCTGGAGATCATCTACCTGCTGACCGGAGAGGTGAGGAGGATTCTGGGAGGTCACATGACCGGACCGGAGAGGTGAGGAGGATTCCGGGAGGTCACATGACCTGACCGGAGAGGTGAGGAGGATTCTGGGAGGTCACATGACCTGACCGGAGAGGTGAGGAGGATTCTGGGAGGTCACATTATATAAATGATCTTTTATTGTGAATTGTTTCAACCAGGTGACCATCACAGGGCCTCCACCAAACTCCGAGAGACCCAACATGGAGAAGATTCTAGAAGTCGCCAAGAAGATGGTGGAGCTGCTGACGGGAGAGGTGAGCGGTGCCGGGGATTCTGGGACATGATCCAGGAACAGACAAGGGAAGCAAAATATATTCTTCTCTGTTACTAGACACTGAATGGTCCAGAGGGGGTGGAACTTTTAACTGAAATGGGGAGGAGTCCCAGCTGGTTGGGACCTCCTCATAGAACATCCGCTCCCTCAGACCTCCTGATCCAGATGGAATGTTGAGTGAAGTCATCTAACCCTCTCATATCTCTCCGTCATGTGTCTCTATGTTTCCAGGACACGCCATGGAGGAACCCTCAAAGGATCCTCTGACTTTATCTCCAGGTTGTAAGATGGAAGATGAGGACATCACAGCAGATTGTGCGGGAGAAGAGACAATGAGCTCAGCTATGGATTGTGGACGTCACAGTGTGGAGAGACCATGGAATCCCTCTGACTCTGAGCGACCTCGTCCTGTGGGGGATGGGGCCGGAATTCAGGGGGAGGAGACATTTTCCTGTCCTAAGTGCGGGAAACATTTTAATTCTGAACTAAGTCTTACTGTGCATCAGAGATCTCACACGCGTCAGGATCTACATGCATGTCCTGAGTGCGGTGAAAGTTTTCCACAGAAATCTGAACTTGTTATACACTACACATCTCACACAGGAGAGAAACCTTATTTCTGCCCTGAGTGCGGGAAAATTTTCTCAAAGAGAACCAACCTTTCCAGACATCAGAGATTGCACTCGGGTGAGAAGCCATATGCCTGCTCCGAGTGCGGAAAATGTTTTCCCTGGAAATCAGCCCTTGTTGTACATCAACGATCTCACACAGGAGAGAAGCCGTATTCCTGCCTTGAGTGCGGGAAATATTTTGCACAGGTATCCCATGTTTACGCGCATCGGAGGTCTCACACGGGGGAGAAGCCGTTTTCCTGCCCTGAGTGCGGAAAATGTTTTTCACTGAAATCAGACCTTGGTACACATCAAAGATCTCACACGGGCGAGAAACCATATTCCTGCCGTGACTGCAGGAAACATTTTTCACAGTTGTCCCATCTTTACGCACATCAGAGGTTGCACACGGGGCAGAAGCCGTTTTCCTGCCCTGAGTGCGGGAAAAGTTTTGCACAGAAGTCCAATCTTAAGAAACATCAGAAAACTCACCACAAACGTTGAAGTGTCCTGGGTGCGGGAAATGTCTTCTATATGAAAGTGGAACATACGACATCTTCAGGGGGGATTATGATGAGGAGGGTGTGGATTATGATGAGGAGGGTGGGGATGATGATGAGGAGGGCGTGGATGATGATGAGGAGGGTGGGGATGATGATGAGGAGGGCGTGGATGATGATGAGGAGGGTGGGGATGATGATGAGGAGGGCGTGGATGATGATGAGGAGGGTGGGGATGATGATGAGGAGGGCGTGGATGATGATGAGGAGGGTGGGGATGATGATGAGGAGGGCGTGGATGATGATGAGGAGGGTGGGGATGATGATGAGGAGGGCGTGGATGATGATGAGGAGGGTGGGGATGATGATGAGGAGGGCGTGGATGATGATGAGGAGGGTGGGGATGATGATGAGGAGGGCGTGGATGATGATGAGGAGGGTGGGGATGATGATGAGGAGGGCGTGGATGATGATGAGGAGGGTGGGGATGATGATGAGGAGGGCGTGGATGATGATGAGGAGGGTGGGGATGATGATGAGGAGGGCGTGGATGATGATGAGGAGGGTGGGGATGATGATGAGGAGGGCGTGGATGATGATGAGGAGGGTGGGGATGATGATGAGGAGGGCGTGGATGATGATGAGGAGGGTGGGGATGATGATGAGGAGGGCGTGGATGATGATGAGGAGGGTGGGGATGATGATGAGGAGGGCGTGGATGATGATGAGGAGGGTGGGGATGATGATGAGGAGGGCGTGGATGATGATGAGGAGGGTGGGGATGATGATGAGGAGGGCGTGGATGATGATGAGGAGGGTGGGGATGATGATGAGGAGGGCGTGGATGATGATGAGGAGGGTGGGGATGATGATGAGGAGGGCGTGGATGATGATGAGGAGGGTGGGGATGATGATGAGGAGGGCGTGGATGATGATGAGGAGGGTGGGGATGATGATGAGGAGGGCGTGGATGATGATGAGGAGGGTGGGGATGATGATGAGGAGGGCGTGGATGATGATGAGGAGGGTGGGGATGATGATGAGGAGGGCGTGGATGATGATGAGGAGGGTGGGGATGATGATGAGGAGGGCGTGGATGATGATGAGGAGGGTGGGGATGATGATGAGGAGGGCGTGGATGATGATGAGGAGGGTGGGGATGATGATGAGGAGGGCGTGGATGATGATGAGGAGGGTGGGGATGATGATGAGGAGGGCGTGGATGATGATGAGGAGGGTGGGGATGATGATGAGGAGGGCGTGGATGATGATGAGGAGGGTGGGGATGATGATGAGGAGGGCGTGGATGATGATGAGGAGGGTGGGGATGATGATGAGGAGGGCGTGGATGATGATGAGGAGGGTGGGGATGATGATGAGGAGGGCGTGGATGATGATGAGGAGGGTGGGGATGATGATGAGGAGGGCGTGGATGATGATGAGGAGGGTGGGGATGATGATGAGGAGGGCGTGGATGATGATGAGGAGGGTGGGGATGATGATGAGGAGGGCGTGGATGATGATGAGGAGGGTGGGGATGATGATGAGGAGGGCGTGGATGATGATGAGGAGGGTGGGGATGATGATGAGGAGGGCGTGGATGATGATGAGGAGGGTGGGGATGATGATGAGGAGGGCGTGGATGATGATGAGGAGGGTGGGGATGATGATGAGGAGGGCGTGGATGATGATGAGGAGGGTGGGGATGATGATGAGGAGGGCGTGGATGATGATGAGGAGGGTGGGGATGATGATGAGGAGGGCGTGGATGATGATGAGGAGGGTGGGGATGATGATGAGGAGGGCGTGGATGATGATGAGGAGGGTGGGGATGATGATGAGGAGGGCGTGGATGATGATGAGGAGGGTGGGGATGATGATGAGGAGGGCGTGGATGATGATGAGGAGGGTGGGGATGATGATGAGGAGGGCGTGGATGATGATGAGGAGGGTGGGGATGATGATGAGGAGGGCGTGGATGATGATGAGGAGGGTGGGGATGATGATGAGGAGGGCGTGGATGATGATGAGGAGGGTGGGGATGATGATGAGGAGGGCGTGGATGATGATGAGGAGGGTGGGGATTATGATGAGGAGGGTGGAGATTATGATGAGGAGGGTGGGGGTGATGATGAGGTGGTAGACCATGCATGAAAATGTGGAGGAGGGACATGAGGCACAATGTCATCCAGGGGCAGAGGAGTGGAGAGACCAGACATCCTGGTGACATATTTCCCGGCTCTATGGCTGCTCCCAGTGGGCGGAGTCTTTCTCTCATTATAAATATATTTGCCGTCACTCAGGAAGAGGCAGGACGGGGCCCTTGCTGGTGGTGTCACCCTGTGTGTGGCCGGCTCTGTCACCTTCTCATGAATCATCAGAACCCCCCGTCCCATCCAACTGACCCCGAGCCCACACAACGGAACTGACCCCGAGACCACACAACGGAACTGACCCCGAGACCACACAACGGTCCTGACCCCGAGCCCACCCAACGGTCCTGACCCCGA